AACATCACACATTTACATTAATTTGGCAGAATATGAAAACAATAACACGGCTAGTTTCACAGAAAGTTGGAACAATACGGAGATTGTCCTCACTTCTCAGCAGAACAGCAGACATCAATCACACGGCGGTGATTGAGAACTTTGCTTCAGATATTTCTAAAATATCTGTAATGATTTTAGGAGAAAGGAGAGTTTAAGATGGAAAATGGAGATTTATCTTACAGAGAGATGTGTGAGGGAATTAATCTGTTTGACCAGAAACGTGCACGCTCCTTCAGTTCTCAGCTTGTTCACGGTACGCTTGGTCGAAGTAGAACTTTTACCTGGTTGACGATAGGTCAGCGTCGGTATAGAATCCTTCCTTTGACTCTTTCAGCGTCTCCGTTGAGAGCAGCTAAAATACTTCGAGAGTCGTGCGAGGTTATCCAAACAGAAGTTATAATTCCCAAAATCGTCACTGCATTCTGTATTCCAATAGAAGCATTCTGGACGCCTGCGTTAGCATCCAAGAACTCTGAACTCTTTAACTCTCTTCAGAGAGTTAAAGTCTGGAACTCTTCTCCAGGAAAACTTTCAAGCTCTGAAAACTCCCATGTTGAACTCAATCTGAGCGCAGCAGCTAGACTGGGAAGTTGCCACATTTAAATGGGTCGACTTCCGGGTCATTTGAGAGCTTTTTGATTGGTCGATGGACCAGAAAAGAGGTGTGGTTTGTGATGTAAGGTGTTATGAAAAGTCAAGGATTGTTTTAGTGACAGACAGAAAGATTATTGGAGAACTTCAGACTTCGTGGAGTCTCTACTCTTATTATCTGCTGTAACAGTTAAACATGACATTTCTTTTTCAGTAAACTTTTAGTTGACCGAAACTTGAACCTTAACATACTTACAAATTTGCTCATTGAAGACAGAAAAATCAAGAAATGCATATTACCCTGATTTCTTCTTTGAATGAGGAATAAAAATCATTACTTACTGTTTATGTAAATAAAAATGAGTAGTTCTCTTCAACCTGTAAACATTGAGTGAACTAACACAATTTGATTATCAAACATTTGTAAAATAGTAATGATCATAGAGAATTGTCTTTTCTACTTGATTAATTCAAGAAAGAAAGTCTCAGGATGGGTCAAACTGTATTTCTGGATGCAGATCAAAGAAATAACAGTTTCTGTCCCACAAGGTTCTTAAGGTCAAGTGTTTCGACCTTAGGCTTATTACTTCAGGTTAGGTTCACTACACAACCATGCAGATGCTGAGCTTCCAATTCAGACAGCCTCACCTCCAAAGCTACCATAAGACTACATTTATTACATGGACCATTATCACTAAAAGAGGCAGAGGAATAGTAAAAGGTCCAGCACATGGAGCAAGGACTGAAGAACCCATGCCAAGCTAATGCTAGCTAGAGCGAGTGGACCCCAAATACACCGATAAAACCAAGAAGCTTTGAAAGACAAAAGGTGCTGTACCTTAAGCACAACACAATAACAGAGAACAACTATGGAAAGAGTGATAGAACTAGTTTGTGGATGTCGGATAAATCCAGTAAATTAAAAGATTCAGTGAGCAAACACATGACTCCAGCTGCCAGCAGAGGAAACAGGAAGTGAGACAACATGCCTCAATGCGAACATCAGCCTTGACAGCTCAGATAATATGCCTCTTCTCTGAGTATGGCTGGAGGGACACAATCTTTGAACATTAGATCAGCTTTATATCCTGTGACAGCAGTTAGTGGTAACATGATGGTTGCGTTTATTAAAAGCCAGTGTGAGCAGATATGACATTTACAAGTAAAACCCCCTAATTTTCTTGTTTTGTTTACGGGAGTTTATTAATTTTTCTTTCTATTTTTCAGCAGTAGTGGAAAAAAACAAACAGATTCAAATGAATCTAAAAATGAAAAACTAAATGAATGCTGGAAGAAATTATTCTGATAAGAAATACCAAAAAGTGCAGCAGTATAAATAAAACTTATAGCCTCTGAGCATATTTTGTACACATGTATTACATCATGGCTCTTTATCTTTGGAGATGGATTACTTGCCATGTATTTGTGTCAGGAAACATGTAGGCCAGGATTAACTTTGAATGTCAGACGAGTTCACGCTGCATCTTTGTGACTCACTCTGGAGCTTTTCTGGTTGCCAAATCAACCCCCCTCCCTTTCTCTCCTCACTTGCCATTGGGCCCAGCTCATCGTGACTTTAGTCTTGCATGTTATGTAAATATCAACTCTAAGGGGTTTAATGTGAATTATTTTCCAACAACAAATTGGACTTTACCATTTGAGTTGCAGAAATGGCATACCTTTGGATACCATTTTTGATTGTGTCTTTTTTTTAATGACTCAATCACCTTTTTTTCTGTCATCAGCATAATTCCAGTCGCCCTGCACTTTGTATAAATGTAACTGCACCCACAGAGGCTCTGTACTTTAATACATCTGAAAGTCACAGCTTGGTGGGTTTTGTGTCCAGTTGAGCATTAAGGGTGAAAATGAGAACTGATGACACTCGGGTGAAGTAACTGGCTGTGATCTAAACAGCACTTACCACTCACCTACAAACTGTTACACTTTTTCATATGAGTCATATTTTTCATGTGAGTGAATCTGGGAAAGTCTCTTATTACCACAAAGGTCAGCAAATACATTCCCATCAATCAGTGCTCAGCAAATACGTGGTAAAAGCTGCACATTTGCAGAAAACTCAATGGTTGTCATTGAATAGCCGATTTGGTGAAACAACTCAATGTTCTTTCTGCAGTGTTTGCTCACTGAAGAAAATATGAGGGTGTTGTAGCTCCATGTTTTCATCTACTGCAGTCTTTTAATGCCACATTGCTCTCCTTAATGTAGCCCAGACGTTAGTGGGATTTTCTTTCCATCTGAATAATCTTCTTTCTCCCTTTGTCCTGTCATCTTCAGGCGGTTTTGTGAAGTTAAAGCTTAAAGCTGTAAACAGAGCAGATGCAGACTGCTTCCGCTGATGGCATTTGGAACTGGTGCTCCTCTCATGGCCTGAAACAGTGAATGTATAATGAAGCCGAGCACAGCCAGGAGATGTTTGTGAAGGAGACAAGGAAGCACGTTTGATAAATCCCACACGGACTCTGAACTAAACCGTATTGATTCTTAGGCTAACTTAGTGCTTATAAATTTGCAAATAATAAGGCATTTTCTTCCATTAGTGAGGTCAGGAAGAAAACTGAAGCATGCAAAGATGAGGATTTGCTAGATTTGCAAATGTAGTAAATTAAAGAGCCATTCTATTCATACTCCCTTAAAAGCTGCTGCATTACATGCTAATGCTTCTGCGTCCTTCCAGCTATTGGCCACAGGAGCCTGATGGCTACACAGTTTACACACCTGTTAAACTGCAAACATCTGGATAAAGAGCTTCAATACTATTTGGGAAACTTCAGACAGTAATCAATGGGTGTACTATATACAGCAAATCTTGGAGTCAGTCAAATTCAAGATGGCTCCTACAGCTAATCTTGTTTTGCCAACACGAAAATATCACTAACTTACTCAAACTTCAAAAATAACAAGGTAAAGTTTATGTGGTAGTAGTTGAGAGTCATCTTCAACACCTACTCCAAGCATCAGCACATCTCGTAAGATGTGCCTGTGGATGGCTGTGGTAGCCATCTTGAATTAAACTGTCATTAAAGGCAGTGGATGCTGGATGTTGTTTTTACATTTACCTCATCTTTAAAACCTGGTAAGGATCAAATGTCCATACATAATTTCCCCCCCAATTTTTAGCACAAGTCTATATAAAGTAGCAAAGGATGCTGAAGACCTTGTTTATACATTTCAGCATATTCCCGTCTTCACAGATGTGACAGATGTACAAGTTACACATGCCTTAATGTGCCCCAATGTGCCCTTCTCACAGATGTTCCTTTAGATCTGTGTGCAGATAAAAGATGGTTGATCCCTTTCATGTTTAGCCCCAAAGAACAAGTATTCAAAGTTTCTAAAAAATAAAAAAGGCAAACCATAAATATCTGTTATATTTTACCCCGTTTCAAAGGATAATTATATTTATGTTTTCTTTGTAAAATTTTCAATTGTTAAGTAAAAATTTCTAAAAAAAAAAACCCAAAAAACAGCTGAAAATGTTATTTTATGCCAAACCAGGCATAAAATGCCAGGTCTCTTTTGTAAATGAGTCCTCGAGACTCAATGGGATTTACATGTCTAAATAAAGGTGTAATAAAAAAATTAAAAAACATTTTAGTATTTCTTGTTTATTAATCTCCCTTTCAAATTATTTTTCTCACCCATTTCTTTGAATCGCGCATTCATCATCAAATTTAAAAGGAGCAAATTTTCTAAGCATTTAAATAAACTTAGTTCAAAATTAAACGCTTTCCAACATTTACAGGATTTACATGTTTTGCGTTACTGTATTGTACTGGTTCAGGCCGTTTTCATCTGTTTTTGCAGCTCTATGTGTAAGCCTTAAAAAAGATGCATTACTATAAAGTACCATTTAATATAGAGGTAATTATTTAACCAGTTTGGTGAGTCAAGATATAAGATGGACGGCTCTCTGTCCTTCTCTGTTTTCCCAAGTCAAGTCAAATCTTTTTATCACAGGTCAGAAATTTGCCTTCAGGGGCTTCAGTGTCTGCACAGCGCATGGCACCATCCATTTTTACACCTTCACAAGATACATAAACTGAAAGGAACTAGGCAGATTTCCCCCCCTGGTGTTTTAAATTTAAACTAATTTTTTGTTTAACATTCAGCCACATAGAAAAATGGCTCAGTCAGAAACAAATCTAACAGAAAATGCCTACGCCTTGTTTACTCAACGGTAGGATGAGAGATTAAGCCGTGACACGTACAAGAGAAGGTCAAAACATGGATGGATGGCAAGAGAAGTAGGTGTGGCCTGCAGAGCACGACGGATGGTGTTTCCAACTGTGAACTTCACCTTGTGCACACGTGCAGGAAACCCCTCCAATGGATGCACACGGCACACACAGCTCCAGTGTTGCAGCACGACACATGAACGCTGACTGTGATGTAGGAGGAAGATGACAGGAGAGGAGGAGGAGGAGAAGGAGGAGGGGGAGAAGGCAGCCAGTGAGCACGCAGAGTGAGAGTGAGCGAGAGGAAAAAAGGGCAGAGGGAGCGTGAGCGAATGAAAGAGTGAGATAAACAGAGAGGGCAGCATCTCCTGAATGCATCCAGCTTGCAGCAGCTCAGGAGGAAGGAAGCCTGAGTGGAGGGGAGAAGAGCTCCAGCACCTCTCTGAAGGGGGCGACAACACCTCTTCTTTTTGCAGATACACACTCACCCACATCTAAGACAACACACACAATTTTCAGGAGGCGTGAGGCTCAGGAGGAGGAACATCACATACAAGCTTGCTGTTCTGCTGGCTTCGCTGCACTTTTGGGAGCTGTCTCCTGAAGACTGGACCAGGGTTGCTTACCATCGCCTCATCCATCTTTTCCTCCCTTCCTGCTTTCCATCCCTCCAGCAGAGAAGCAGCTCTCAGTCACGCATCCCTCGATCATCTGGAGCGAATTGCTTGCTTTGTCATTCATCTAACCTCTGATCCTGTCTTGTCTCTGTTCTCACTTCATCCAGCCTGGAAATCAAAAAAAAAAAAAAGACACAATAAAGAGTAAAACCCACCGACCGATTGAGAGACCAACTGTTCGACCAAAATCATGAACTTCCTCCGGCGTCGACTCTCTGACAGCAGCTTCATGTCCAACCTGCCCAATGGCTACATGACAGACCTTCAGAGGCCTGACCCGCCTGCTCCTCCACCCCCTACTGCCACCTCTCCTTCCCAGCAGGGTACAGCCCCCTCCACAGCTTCTGCCCCTGCCCAGTCCCCAACCAAGGGTCCTGCGCTGGTCCAGGCGCCCGCCAGCTCCCCGGCATCTCAGGAGCGACATTCGGCCCAGCAGCCTCAGCAGGCCCAGTCCTCCTCCTCTGGAGGTTCCACTGGCTTCTTCAGTTCCTTCAGCTCCATCACCAACGTGGTGAAGCAGACAGCTGCGTCTGCCGCCGGCTTTGTGGAGCAGTCGGCCCCATCTTCTTCCCTCTCCAAGAAGTTCAAGATTCTGTTGGTTATTGACGAGCCCCAGCATGAGTGGTGAGTCCTAACGATGGCTTGACTAAATGCCTGACAGGAAGTTGGCGGTTGTGTTGGACGTCACTGCTGATTAAAAGGCCACACTTCTTTGATTTTTTTGGAAGGCTCCTCAGATTTGGCACATCAAATATTTGGTTTATCATCAGCCAGAAGGCACAGGATTTACTGTCAGAAAGCTAACTAAATTAGGTGTGGGTGCATCAGATGGATTCTGGAAGGCTCTGTGTTGAAATTTAGATGTGGACCGTGGATGCAACCTTTTGTTGAGATCAAAACAAACAAATAGTTCACATGGTCCAAATAAATAGCAGGAAAACGCTATCCTCCAATGGATTTTGTGGCTTTTTTGTGTGTGTTTGCGTTAAAATGTCTTCCCTCCTTACTGAAACTGCTCCCAAAATAGAACCAGCTCTTCTAATCTAAACAGACAGGACACATTTTCTTTGGGGTTTGGATTCACACCACCCAAAACCATCACCTGTCTCTGTTTGTGTGATTTTATAGGACTTAAAGCCACTGTGTTTGTGTGTGTGTTAGATGGCGTTGAAAAGCTTTGAGTGACTGATAGTGTCTCTCGAATGCACAAGCTGATGATATAATCCGTGTGCCATCAACATGCACATTAGTGTTGAAAAAAACGCATGTAGCTCTGAATAAAACATCGTCTTCTGCAAGTGAAAGAAGAGCCTTTGGGTATTTACTTATGTTTATATCCTTCTTGCTGCTTTTTCGCCCTACCATTTTCCAAAAATGTGTTGCTTTTTGTGTGTGTGGATGTACAGCTTCAGTGTTGTCATTACCTGGATGTAGTTTTATCTTATCAGCCTTTTACAAAATGTCTTGTTAAAAAAAAGATCTCTGCATGAGACACTTTTGACCTTTTCCGTTTAATGGATGCTCCTCAGTGCTATCATGGGGCAATCACTGTTTAGTATTGCTCATAAAACTGAAGCTGTTTCTGGGTCTAATATGATAGCAAGCATCAGAACAAGAAAATAAATGTGGTTTGGTTTATGAAGAATAAACAACCAAGGTAAACATTTGATCAAATGTTGTCGATAAGACCTTCAAGAACAGTGACAGGTTTGAACATCTGCAATTCAAGAACTGCTGAGCGAGAGCAAGTGAGGACTGTGTTAAAATCAAAAGCTGCCCAACAAAACCTGTAGGTGAGCTTTTCAAAGGTTTGAACTTGTTAGGTAAACAAGCATTTTCTGATTGTAAAAGCTAAATCTGAAAATATGATACGTTAAAAGATCTAAGATATATGCTAAACACTAATGATGTAAAAACAGTACAGCGTAACAACAGCAGGCTGAACATGAGTCAGTGGTGAGCAGATGAGTATGAATGAATACAGCAGCATGACATAATCAGAAGCATGGAATAATCAGCAGCACATATCACCAATTAAAGTGGCATTTCAGTGATTTTTTTTCTTAGTGATTATCCTGGTTAGATATTCATGAGTCTAACAGCCTCAGAGTAGAAGCTGTTCCTCAGTCTAGTGGTTCTACACTTAATGCTCCTCAACCTCCTGCCTGAAGGGAGTGGGGCAAAACGTGTGTGCTGGGTGAGTGGGGTCTTTCATGATGCAGGTGGCTCTCTTCCTGCATCTGGAGGTGTAAATGTCTGTGATGGTGGGGAGGCTGACTCCAACAGACTTCTGTGCAGCCTTCACCACTCTCTGCAAAGCTTTTCTTTCTGCAGCTGTGCAGCCTCCATGCCACATGTTGATGCTGGAGCACAGGATGCTCTCCACTGCACACCTGTAGAAGGAGGTGAGGACTGAGCTTCCCAGTCCAGCTCTTCTCAGCCGTCTGAGGAAGTAGAGTCTTTGATGAGCTTTCTTGATCAGGCTGGTGGTGCTGTTGCTCCAGCTGAGGTTGTCATTCAGGTGCACACCCAAGTATTTGTAGCTGGAGACCACTTCCACTGCAGATCCTATGTTCGGGGGGTGGGGTGGTGGTGGTTGCAAATGTACTATATTTGAATATTGTGGTGTTTTCTGCAGAATTTGCAATTGTTAGCAATTTAAAGATAAACTCAAATTAATAATAACAAGAATAAACAAAAATAAGTACTGTCTGAATCGGGATTTTGAAGTTTATTGTTTACTTTCAACATTGACTGAAGTCGAATATAAAAAAAAAAAAGATAGATTATGTCTATCAGTGTACAGAGGGTGAGGTAGCTTGGTTGGCAGTGCTGCTTAGCCCTGAGGCCACAGGTTGGAGCTCAGTTTTCATCATAAAGGGCATCTGGCATAAAGCAAATGGCAAAATCTTTCGAGTGAGTTTACTGTGGCGACGACCCTGCAGAAGGGAGCAGCTGAAAACATGCTTCTCAGTGTATATACATGTGCATCAAATTTCCATTTCTTTGTTGTGACTGATAACTCTAAATTTAGTTAATCCCATAATCCATGCTGGGACTGTTTTGGAAGGTTATGATTGGGTGGCACCCACCCATGATGTGACAACATCTAAATGTGACAAACTGGAGCCTTAATTCATAAAAATGGAGATGGAATGTGTTGCTTTACTTTATAGAATCCTACTTTCACTAGACACAGCCAGTGCATCCATGTGGCTCTAGTACTACAGAAACCCCAATGTTGGATTAGTTATTCCCATATACAGGAGATGTTTTGGGATTACGTGCATCTCCTGTGCATGATAAAGCGCTTACATATGCTGTAAAAACAATTATTTCTGTATTTGCTGCCTTCACAGGTGTGTTTATGTTCTGTTTGATTTTTTTATAGACAGTTGATGAAATGGCATAAAGCAATGACTGGATGTGGTTTGACTCATATGATGTACTGTAGTTTTACAAAGAAAAGCTTGGCATTGCTCTAAAATTGCAAGAAAATAGGCGTATTTAGGGGGATATGAGTTGGTGCTTGAACTTCCTCTTTCTCTTCTTTGCCACTGCTGCACAGGACGGGTTTTAGATTCTATAAACAGAATTTGTGGCAGGAAATGTAATAAGGGATGCCAAATATTATAATATAATGTGAAATGCAATATAAAGTATGGAAATTTTAATGATCATCCTCAATATTGTTGTTTAAGTGTTTCTTTTTAAAAAATTGTTTGTAAACAATGTTTCATCCGGAGAGCCAGTCATAAATATTAATGTTGTGTTCTTAGGGGGATGATTGCACACAGAGCTTTCCTGAGGTCTCTGGGCCAAAGAGGCATTTAGATAAATAATATTGATTTTCCACTCAGGAGGGAGCGGTCTGGGGGATTTGAGTAATGTATCTTTGTAAACAGAAAGTCACAAAAAAAAAAAAAAAACCTGCATCAGTAAAGTTCCTGTTTATCAGTCAAACAAACACAAGAAGCTACATCTTCTCTGTAATGTTGGATATACCAGTCACCTGAAAGAAATTGTTGAAAGATTACAAATTTCATAAAAACCTTTAATCAACAAGTGGGTTCATTATTCTTGTAGTTTAGCTGAGTTGGTCAGTGTTTTTGGAAGCAATCCCTACAGTACAAAGTACACACGGACATGATGTACATCAATAAATGCAACAAACTGTACACATAAAGTACTGTACACTCTGTCATTTCTGAGGTTTTTCACTTTGGTGCATAAATCAGTCCCCAAGTCTCCTTACCAAATCACACAGTTAAATAAATATAATCTCAGATGAAGAACTAAGTTCAAGCCAAAATGCAGATGCAGAAAACGATGACTAACATCATCTATAGCTTCCAGAGGAGCTGAAATGTTAACTAGCAGTCAGGGACAAACTTGATTAAATGAACTTTATAAAAAAAAAAAACAACCTCTATAGAAGAATGTGTTGTTGCTATAATGGTCATTGACTTACATAATAATATGATGCCCAAGGTGGAAAAACAACAGCAATGACAACTGATGGTGCCCTGTATTGTGGGAACACTGATAGTCCACGTTGGCTATCTCCCAACATTTTGGAACCCATGTTCTCCACTGAAGACATTTGATAGACACAAATGTTCTCAAGACTGGACAACCCAACAGTTTACTATTTCTGTCAATAGTAAAAAAACAACAACAATGAAAACCAGAGTTTAAGTTAGCATATTCTTGAAGTTCCTGACAGTTCAACAAGACAAAGACCAAACAAGTTCAGTCAACATGTCAGTAAGATTTGGACCTAGAATGCAGACAGGACACGAGGAGCTCCAAAATAAACGTTATTTTATTTTTTTAACAAAACTCCGCCGTGGCAGAAACCTTTCAAGTTCAAGGAAGCACAGGAAGGCATGAGGGAAAAAAACTCACAACTAAACTCATGGAAGGAAAAACTGATAGAATATAAGGGCTGAGGTAAAACGAGGAGACTGGAAACAGCTGAGCTAGATGAAGACTAGGAGCAGGTGAGAGTGGGCATGGCAGGACTGGACTGAGGAGCAGGATCTAAGCTGAAGCTGAGGGAGGGGGAATGGTGGCAACAAGAAGCACGGGGAAACAGAAAGAATAAAAACACAAGTAAATAAACTAAATGCAAAGTTGAATACAACAGACCTAATCAAACCATAAAGAAAACTCAAAGTCTTGTTTGGAAAATAAATATTCTGCACAGTAAGCATTTTATTTTAGATGTGCGCCTGCTGTTTTAACATAATAAGTTAAAATGACTATCTTTGTTTCTGCTGTAATAAATGAACGTAGCTTTTATAGATGGAATGACTCAACTCACTTGTGTTTTTTCACTCTCCTTATGTATATCTTTGCATCAAAATTAAAATAACTTAATTACAGGCATAATGACCATCATATCAATAGGTGAAGTTTTTTTTTAATTAACATTGAGAAAAGTTCTTATATTTTAGTTTTTTAAGCTATTAGATCATGTGATACTTCTTTAAATATGGCAAAACTATAAAACTGTAATATATTTGTTTAAAAATAGCATATTTACCGAACTGTGCTACATATCTCCAGCCAAATTGTATGTATGCATTTTTAATGTTTTCCTTGTCATTAGGCCAGGGTGG